CAATTGGAGTGGTTGTGACTGGTTCCCTCCCCACATTCGAATGGAGGGATTGGGAACCAGTGCGTAGCTTCACTTTCTTCAACAGCTCGGACTGGCCACCGAGCTATCTTTTTTTTTAACATGGAGATCAATGGTTTCGATGCATGTTGAGGTTATTGTGGAAATATGACAAATACACAATTTGTTTGAAACAAAATTACATTAAAATAATAGCATTTCATAAAATTTTTAAATCATACAAGTTGTCGCTAAGATAATTTCATAGTATGTTGGCATAAAGAGTTACAAAAAACAAACAGCACTTTACGGAAATAGCATACATGCGGGGGTAACAATTCACAACATTATTGAAGACAGCCCCTAAAGCTTAAACGAAGAGTTCAAAACCTGTTATGCAAATATCTTGTACTGGTTTGAATGCAATTACCCATTGGTCCATTACAAAAATCATAGAAAACACTTTTATTATATTTAATGCTGGCCAAAAAAAAATAAGCTTGCCTGCAAGAAAATAAGAACAGCAATGAGAATACATCACTTGATTTCAAACAAATTAAATTGTCCCCGAAGCACATGCAGTTTTTAAGAGTTAGGTTTATCATCAAACCAGACATCCTAGCTCACATTGTGCATGGTTTAATACTAATTCCCAGTTTCAGTTTACCTTTGAAAACCACAAGTTAGATTGAAAACTTCCTTCCTGCTCCAGGACATTGGAACTTTGTCATATGACAAACAAGTATTAGTAAGAATAACTATTGTTTATTTTACGGTTTGGTAAGTAATTTGCTATAAATAATCACTCTTGGTGGACGAATGCATTATAACAGAGTTATAACAGGATGTATGACAGGGGAAAGTGGACCCCAAATTTATAGAATGACGCAACAATACGTGCATAAGTCAATTCAACTTGAAAGCTTTAAGGGGTAACTATATGAAGCAGCATGGATACATGTACATGCTATCCATGTTGATATGCATGAAGTCCATTTCTTTAATTGGAAATATCAACAGAAATTGTCCAGGAATGTTTTCCCCCAGACAGAATTATCTTGCATCATCCAAATTTCCAATTCATCAATATGTTAAAAGGAATCCGATTAAAAAAAACACATGAAAAATAAACTTGAAATGAAAGTTCCTTGGCATTGTAAAAAAAAAACAACCTCGGGGCCAAACTGTATGCTTAACTGCATAAACGGTTGTTTACTGTGAAAGGAACCAAGTGCGCCACATATTGACAAAAACATTGCGGTTAAAGTTGCGTTCATGGGGCTGGCTTCGTGACAACGTGCATCCATGACCTCAAAAAATAACCCAGACATTTTTTGGGCATTGTTGAGAACACAAAAGGTGTGAAAACTGCTGAGTACTGCAGGTTCCTTGGAGTTTGTTGATTTAGATATTACACGTACAATGTACACATGCATGTGCATGTTTGTTGTGCTACTTTTATCCATAATGCACCACAGATCAGTGGCGACTTTGCGCAATTCGGACCGTCAAAACCTCACGCCACCCAATGGAGTTCGAATTCGTTCATGCTCACTGTTAATACAGTGTGCTATGTAATGTATAATTGTTACCGTATGTGCCAACGAAAGCAATGGCCCCAGCTATAAAAGTTGTGGAAGTCCCAAGTACAGAAGTTTTGACGGTCGGAATCGAGCAACTTTCAGTCGCCACTCTGTGGTGCTTTATTTGGAATACAAATAGCATAACAAACATTACACATGCATGTGTACATAATATCTAAATCAGTTTGAGATGCAATATAGTTGGGGCCCAACATATTCAATGTACATTTGTGAGTAACTCCCTGTGCAAAATCATATTGAATTTGGAGGATTCAGGACTGTTGGGGATTGTAATTTTTTCAAACAAGAAAACATCCTGTACGCATACTCTATATACATGTACACTCCTATTATTATATATTTGAATTTAATTGGTGTAGTAAAATTGGGAAAAATTAAAGTTCATCCCTATATAAAAACCTCATTATAGTGTAAAATTTGTATGTCTGCTTACCTAAGTGCAACTACAAGTAGGCAAATAAAAGAGACTGTTTGTATACAACAGTAGTCATTTAGTGTATAGCACCAATTAAACCATAAAAATTTCAACGGATGACTCCAAAAAAGTTCAATAAAACAGCCTTAATTTTCACTTTGGAACAACTGAATGGAACACATACATGTACATGTACATGACAAAACAAACCCCAGGACATTGATATTCAAGCCTATCGGAAAAAGGGAATACTATACACTTTCAGTTTGTCAATGACCACAAATCGTTGGTTAAGAACATATCAGTAAAACTTCTTTGAAACATTCATACCAGAGTTCAAAACTAAAAACTGTAAAATCGAATGAGTAGATTTGAAATCCACAATTAAACATGTTTCTAAAATAAAAAAGGTACATTCCATTAGAACCATAAAATTATTTCAACCTTGCATTTTTAATTTAAAAAAATGTTATAGGGTAGTGGAAAGTGCAACAAAAAAGGTAAAAACAAAATACTGAATAAAGTTCATGTCAACAGGTCAAGTTACTTTAATATTTACAGTAACAGTATTTCAGATCTGTGCATTGTAATTTGTCTAAGTACATCCATTTTATTTTGGCAAAAAAAAATTCATCTGGTTGCTATTTGGTATACAACTAGAGAATTTCCAACCATTATTAAGAATAGGCACTGAAAACTGAATTGCCTTGTACATGAAACACAAGAGGGCGCTATTCATGTTTCAACTGACTGTTTGGCAACATGGGGAGATCCTTTTATCTTGACACTCACAAGTCATGTAGATGTACAGTCGAGTCTCGTTAATACAAACTCGTTCGGACCTAACCAAATTGTTTGTTATATCAGAATTTTGTATTAAGAGGAACATCAGTCCCATTCATTGTGCACATAAATGCACAGTCGGGACCAAGGCTTTATGTTTGTTATAACCAGAATTTTGTATTAACAGAGTTTGTACTAACGAGATTCGACTGTATTTGGAAAATGGTTTCCTTTTTTAAACTGTTCGAAAATTCAAAATATACAACAATACCATGACTTCAATTCACAAATACGTACTTGGAATCATATTTGAAATTGAAGTCATACACGCATGCAAATTTTTAAATACAGGTGGGAGTACTGTAGTACTTGGGACCAGCTGGGCTATTGAGGTTGGCCACATATGCTGGTTGCCAGTAGCCGACTGTATTGCAATGAACAGCAGGGCGCCAGTAAGGAGACGTTTTGAGCTGACTTTGACCGTCACTCGACAAGAGACGCTTGCAATTTGTACATTGACCTTGCTCTATCACATCCTCGTATTCATTTCAATATTTGCCCAAAGCGAATTTCCATCCTTTCCAATATCTGCCACTGCAACAAGTCTTCTGCTCTGAGCCAGAGTTGCATGACTCGTGACTCAGACTCAGACTCCAGTCTGACTCCGAATCACGAGTCATGCTCAGCAAAAGACTTGGTGCAGTGGCAAATATCGGACTCGAGTCACGACGACAAATGACTCGGATTCGGACTTGGACTCGACCTGTGTGACTGGGGACTCGACCAAAATTACAACAAATCACTGATTTCTTCAACATAATAACCTTTTGAAGACAATCCTTTCCTGAGCAAGCGATACAGTCAGTGTGGTGTTGAAGAAAAAGTACTGTACCTGTACACACACAGCGAGTCCGGCGGGCTTGTTTAAGATATTGTGCTTTGGGAAATCAACGTGAGGTTTTAGTAGTGCCTCAACATTTATTTCCAATATATAGTATGGTACTTAAAAGACTTGTGACTTGGACTCAGACTTGCGACCTGCATGACTCAGGTCTCGGGAGAGGTGACTCGACTCGGACTCAACTTGGCGACTTGTAAACAGACCAAAGTAAACAAGTCTGTTACGAGCTCCTCAGGCCCGACTAATCCCTCTAAACGAGTACTGTACCTGACCAGCAGATAATTCACTTGCCTTATGAGTCGAAGCATGCTTCAATCACTTCAGCATAACCCTAACCCCCTGGGATATTCTGGCTAGAAACCCTGGTAAATGCAGCAATATGCATCAACTGTCAAAACGACAAGACTGCCGAGTGTAGCAAGATCCATCAGGTCAAAAAACTCAAGGCCAGGCTGCCTCAGAGTCTGTGGTCACCAACTGCATCAAGACACATTACTCTGGCGTTGTTGAATGGGACTAGCCCTCATTGTTTCAGAATTGGTGGTTTATGCACTGGTTTTGATGGCTCAATGCACAAGCTTAGGCCCCGTAGACTTTTATCCTGATGCACTACATGTATGTTGCATCTGGCAAAGTTTGGGTTTTTAGACCAATCAACTAAACCCCGCCCCATAATGTTTTGACCACAAACAGACATGGTCCAAATTGCATGCAAAATTGTGAGCCGTTTTGGCAAAATGAGAGAGAGCTGGGCACAGGCCGTAGTGGAGAAAAATGCAAAAACAAATTCCAGATTTATTGACATTTGTAATCTTAGATATGTCTACTACACATATTTAAAGGGAATGAACAACATTTGCTTTTGCTGCAGTTTTCAGAAATTAATGGGTTTGGAGATTAGTATGTTATAGCAAATATTGTTACACTGACTTGTTTCACGTTTTGGGTTCGTAGATGCTGGAAAAAACAAGAAAACCAATCATATTCTTGTAGTCTGGTTCCCTCACCCCACTCAAGATGAAACGGAGCAATTTATAGACTTTGGGGAATTGTAAGTTCAGAGAATCAGTCTAGCAGGCTTGTAGTCTTCACAGGTGTGTAATCAATTGCAAAGAAAATGCAGATGAACTACATATGAAAATTAGAAGCATGTTTTGAAAAAAAGCCAGTATTTTTCCAACGCTGGTCGGCTGACCAGCATTGGAAAAAATACAGTTTTTCTTGAAAATGTCAGCACACCAGGAGCCACAACTTTACATGATGCTTTAGACTGTCATTCCCTAACAATCCAGTAAGGTATTTCGTGATAATTTGATCATTTCGTTTTTTTGATGTTTGCAAATGTTGTATCTTCCCTTTAAGGGATAAAGTATAAAAATCATGGAATGAAAGTGTTTTTAAGGAAATGCAAATTGCACTTTTCATTTTCCCCAACTGCAAATTCAAAACTTTGTAAGCCCTTTTCTCAATATTTTACTTTTTGAAATGTCGATAAACGCATACTCATAAAACGCATATCAGCATTAACTTTTTAAATGGAGTAACCAATTGACCGATTGAAAGTGCAAATAAAAGTCGCATTTTATTCTCTTTCCTAATACCTGCAAAGCCCAATTTCGATCTCCGCCCAGTTCTGTCTCAGAATGCCTCCTAACTGTGTGAAGTGCCAACAAAATTGTCTAACATGTGCGCACTTGCATATGACGCGCTCATTGGAACATATGCAGAGTGGCCAATGCAACCAAAATAGGGTATTTTGTTATCCTAAATATTGAGGTGTTTTCAGAAACATCTAGGTTTGTGGTACTGGAGGGCAGGGGCGGGGGCAGGGATGCGGAAGAGCAAAAGTAGATTAATTTTGTGAGATGTGATGCTTTCATTTTCTTAAACAAATAAAATAAAAAGGCAACATTCTGCCAGAGGGACAAGTTGTTGTGTCTTGTTTTGGACGATTCATAGAGCAAGGGTTAATCAATAGCTTTTAAAGACCAACCTAACCAACCTGCACCTCTTCAGCAGATCATCTCAAACAGGTGCAAGAGCCTGGACATGGCCCTGTTGTTCTGGTTGCAGCGGTATAGGCTGTCCCGCTTGCTGAAGAAGACATCCACCACCAGGCAGGCGTTGGACAGGACCGACAGGTTCAGGGACTCCGTCTCTGGGTCCTTCCTCTGGGACTCCTGGCTGGCTGTGTGGAAGACCGCCAGAATGACCTCTGCGTCGCCTGAGAGAGACAGACACACGAGGAAGACAGTGTCAGTGACAAAGTACAAGCCGTGGAGCATCAAGGATAAACAAAGTGATAAAGTAGGAATACAAAATCACTAACTCCACCTTACTATGAGGTCTTGGCTTCTGGCACTGGCAAGCCACAATCATTACTTCTGAGGCAGTAAATGTCAAGGAGAAGTATAACTTTGAACTTACTACTGACGCCATCCACAGCCTTCATGATGTTCTGGGTCAGATCATTGGATGCCAAGCAGAACACCAAGGTGACCATATGATGATCTCGCCCGGGAGACCACTCCTTCAAGACTAGGTCAACCCCCTTAGCCGCCATGTGGGACTTCAGGCGTTCCTCCAACATCTCATCGCAGTCGTGGAAGTTACCGTCTGACTTGCGGAGACAGTTCACTGTAAAGAGACGATGGTGGACAAGGTGATGGTTTCAATTCTGTCTTTCTGGATTCTGTTTTGCAAGGGATGCAAGTGGGTTTTTGCTCAAGGACCAAAAAAATTGCACGATCGCAATACAACATGTACTCACATTGCAATACTGCACACGTGTTTAGTATGTCCCCAATGAATGTACAATACATGTATACATTTGTGTAACATTTGTGCTAGTCTTGGCCCAAGAGGTCAGTGATTGATGGCTGAATTGTTGAAGAGCGCCCTTGCACAATTGTTTTTTAGTTTTTTCGCGCTAACGTCTTGGGGAACTTGCAGCAACGGGGGCTAGGCCATCCCATTTGATACCGGAAGTCGCATGTGCGGCGGTATCACTGTGTTGCATACATGTATCTAATAAGCGATGCTTGATCACTACACGTGTACATGTTTGTTTACAAAGCTGTCCTGCGAAGATATATATTCAAAAAAAAAAGGCTTAGCGTTCAGTGCCGATACTTCATTATTGCGCTATAAACCACTTCATGATCGCTGATTAGCTTCCTAAGAAAGCCTTAACCCCCTAACCCACCTCACTCCTCCAAAATCCTTCTGGCGGTTTTGGAGGATTCTAGAGGATTGAGGATGAATGGTGATTGAATCAAATGAGGATTCTGGAGGATTGAGGATGAATAGTGATTGAAGCACATGAGGATTTTGGAGGATTGAGGATGAATGGTGATTGAAGCACAAGAGGATTTTGGAGGATTGAGGATGAATGCATTTTGAGGCAGGACTGTCTGATGATTTTGAAGGATTTGGCGTTGGGTTATCCTTCATATAAACACGAGTGCAAAATTTTGGGATGAGGAGGATTTTGGAGGATTGAGGATGAATGCATTTTGAGGCAGGACTGTCTGACAATTTTGAAAAATTTAGGCGGAGTTGCAAAATTTTGGAGGATTGAGGATGGTTGTAAGCAACAAGGGCCTAGGGGGTTAGGGTTAATCTCTTAGTAACGAAGGGTTATATACCATATGGAGTCAATGGGCTCCATGCCTGAATTACAGAGGGCCCTTTTGACCACTTTCAATTTTAGTTTGAATGTGCACAAACCCATAGTGCCTTCGAGTGACAGTCAGGTTTTGTCAGCAATGCATTCAAATGTCTCTCTCAGTGGTCTCCCAAACTGTCCAAATCAATTGGCCACGGCTTGAAATAATACGTGCACCTGAGGAAGCCACTGGCATGCAGCTGCAGCCATTTCCCCAGTCTCGTCTGTTATTGCCAGCTGTAGCCAAGTGATTTGAACACGGCCTAAGACTCAAACTACACTGTTCTGCAAATTGTGTGTATACATGAACATCAGTGCCTGGTATTTAACAAAAGTATTACCTGTGACCAGACTGGTCCCACTTGTGCCAGCTCCATTATCGTTCCCCTTCTTTAGGACGGGTCTCTGCTTCTTTCCATGGCTCGGCGACTGCCTCCCGTTTTGACCATTCACATCCTCCTCCCGTGCCACCCCATTGGTCCCCTCATGTCCGTTGGCTTCCCCATTGGTCAGTCCATTGGTGGCACTGTTTTGCTTCTTGTGCTCATCCAGGCAATTCTGGAGCTGATCGTTGCTCTTTCTCAGCCTCTCGTTCTCCATCTTGAGCGAGGTGATGTTTTTCGACGAGTCCTCTTCCAGTGTCTCGGTCTCTGAGACGTCTCCGTTGCTGACTCCGTTCTTGGCCTTGGCGCCGTTGGCCAGTTTCTTTGACTGTGACTTCTCGGCCTCTTTCTTCAGTTTGGTGTTCTCTCTTCTCAGAAGCTCTACTTGGTGTCGGAGGAGACGGAGGGCTCCGTTCTCCCGCCTGAGGGCATCAATCAGATACTTCTGAGTTGTGATGACTACCTCAGGGTCACGGTGGGTCAAATCACTCTCAAGTATCTGGGAAGACCAACAATGAAAACAAACTAGATAAGAAACTTCCCATGGATATGAAAAGACTCACAGGTACATGTATCTTAAGTTCAAATCATTCTAAAGTCTATACAATGTTTCAATTCCCAAAGAAGCATATTAACGTCTTAAGGGCTCTTTGGGGGTCAAGGACCAAATACCACAGAATACTACAAGTGTTGTGCACACTTGTATGGAAAGAAATGCATACTACAGGTTGCTACTGAGTAGTATGTTGTAGCTTTAGGTGAGGTCAGGGTCAAGTTGGCCTTCTCAAACTGAATGCACAATTGGAAGGTTAACATGTAAATCAGCAGAAACTCAATAATTAAGACCTCAAAAGTTTTTACGTCAACTCAAGTCAAAATTGGAACTTTCCTTGCCTTCCTTGCACCCCTGTACCTCTATTTTCTGCAACTCTTTCGGTTTTCTGTACTTTTCCCACACCTTTCTCTTCTCGCCTTTACTCAAAGATACAACTGGCTACATGTGGCTGTTGTTTGAATGAACAGATGCCATAATGGGCAATACCAGCATTATGTAATGTCCATGATCGAGCTTTTAGAGCTCAGTGAATTAACCTGAAAATGTATTTTCAAATCTTATATTATGGCATGTATGGTCTGGGAGATTACGAATCAAGTTTTGGATCATTTCTGTGAATGGGAAGATGTCTTGGTAAATTGGCTCCGTCATGGAATTCCTTTCATAATGCTAAAGACATGAAAGACTGTTATAAAAACTTCAACCTTTTTCCGGAATTGTTTTGGGTAACATTTTCCAGTATTTAGTTAAGTCGTAAAAAAAAAAACAGTGAAAGAAGGATACAGTACAAAATAATGTAATGAATGAACATGTAATGATAAAAATGAGAGTATACACATGCCTGACATGCATTCCTGTCAACAAACACAGCATGCGTGCATGTTCTCTTGTCATGGTGACTTTTTTTTAAGGATATTTTTTTTATAATCAAGCACAGGTAGGCCTATGCTGTATGCAAGTTGAGTCTCCATACATGTATGTACATTCCATCCCAGGTTTGAGTAAACTACATACAAGTACATCCCCTCCCTTGTGATACGCCAAGCAAAGTCCTTGAATAACAATGCACCAAATTCACCCCTAACTGCACTTTACAAGGTCCTTCCCAATCAGGAGCCTGTATTACTCTAGTACATGTATTAATAAGGCAACTTTCTAGGCTTCGCTACCCACCATCCATGCGACCATTGTGAACTTGCCCCAGCACTTTCAAGGTGCAAAAGTGAGTCATCCACCCACTGTTTCTAACAATGCAAAACTAGAAAATGGGCCATAGTGAGAGTGCAGCCAACCGACCAGGTCAATCAATTGCATGTTCAGGGGAGCCCTTGGCCTGGTATTACTATTAAATTTTTCCATAATCAAGGTACAATGCACATGCCATTTTAGTTTAACACTTTGTGAACAGTAACAATTTACCCAAATGTACTACATGTAGTACACATGGTACCTACACTATCCCAGTGTCACGCAAATTCTATTTCATGATTAGATTTCCAATCATGTTGATTTGATAATGACCGAATTTCTTTTCCTTTAATACTAGAGTGGCCCCATTTTCATGAACCAGTTTATTGCAGACATTGCTGATTGATGTTGGGTCGGGGTTAAGGTTAAAGGGTTCCATAGCATCAAGCTGTGCATGTACACATGTGTACAATAATTCCCATGTGGAAAATAGTTTGACAATAACCAATGTACTTGTAATATGTACAACATGTAAATGTTGTGTAAATAACACACAATGTACATGTACATGTACAAGGAAGTTGTATTTTATGTTCTGAATTTGAGATAATGTTGTATCCAACTGCAATGCGTATTTCTGTGGATGCGGTTTGAAGTACAAACTTTTGTACTGTGTACAATTATCATTACAATCGAGGTTCGGAAGACATGTAATGTAAGCTCCTGTGCCAAATATTTAACATCCACTGAATGTCCAAACGCCGTTTTAGCAAAATATATGTAGAATGGGTTCCGTGCACAAGTACCCCCTCAACGGTAAGGAAGGAAGAGTCGGGGGAGACAACTTGAAGTGCCATACATTGTACGAACGCATCGCTGATGAAGCATAGGACGCCTGACCCTCAGGCGAGGATGCTGATGGCTTTCTGTACATTTAGAATAAACTGAGAAGTGCATATTTAGCGCCATACGAGATTGTCTAATAACGGTATATAATCTAGTTTGATACCCCAACAGAATCAATTACTTTGAAGCTTGCATCACAGCCATGGTCAATTTGCTAAGGGTCAAATTGGTCATAACACAAACGGCACATCACAAAATGGTCGAGTAACTCAAGTTGCCCTTGGACTATTACAAAGGTCTTTGTAAAGGCATTCTTTGAGTTCTATGACTTTGGTGTGCCCCACTATAGCGTCTTTCATGCAGGGATGTTTGAAAAGAAAGGGTATGGCGCAAAACCAGCTTGTATCCTTTTTACATGTATCTAGAGCAATTGCAGGAAAATTTGGCCAGTGTGTACATGCCCATGTAAACCCAGAAAGAACCTTTATAAAGACATGAATACATTCCATGTACAAAGGAATGACAAACTAATTGGGTGTCGAGTCAAGGAATGAGTGATGTACATAAATGTGTAGCATATTTGTATGTTTGTTTAAAGGCACATGTACACGAGTACATATTTACACCTGGTGCAAAAAGAAACTAAGCAGTTTTTATAATCACCTTGGCTTGGACATTTCGCAGTGAACAAAAAATCAGAAATTTATACATTTCGTCACGAAAACTTTCCGGTTTTGATTTGGAGCACTGTGTAAAAAATAACAACAGCGCAAGCGCTGAAGCTCCTGAAACCCCAAAACTAAAAGTTGCACTTTATAGCAAGATTGTCAATGGGCATTGCAACACCCAACTGAATGCGGGGCCTGCATCATTGCATTCAACTGTGTGTTGCAATGCCCATTGAAAATCTCGCTAAGAGCAACTTTTTAGTTTTGGGGTTTCAGGAGCTTCAGCACTTGGGCTCTTGTTATTTCTTACACAAATTATCTGTTATAAACAGGCATGCAACTTTTCCTCGGATCAGCTGATTTCCTCTTTTTTTTAAATTCTCATTTCTACCATTCAAAATTGAAAATCACTGTACAAAGTCTTCTGAATTTAGGAATTTCCTCTTTTTTGGTGAATTTACAGTTGCATGCCTGTATAAAGGTCAATTATCTGTATACTGACAGATCTTTACAAGAGGTTTATTTATCAATCCATCTGTTTATCCGCTCTGTTCACAAGTACCCCCTCACCAGCAAAGAAAGTACAGTTGGGGGTGACCGACCGATGCCATCTTGCCTGACTGCAATTTTGCTGCGACGCGCAGCCGTACCACTGCATGTACATAGTACAAGTACAAATCCCCTGGTGTACGTGCGTCACACACAAGGAACAGTGCTCGTCAACCAGCTAAATGTCCTGCCCATAGGCATGATAGGACGTCGTTGCTAGGTAAAAGGGCGCCCTCTTTCGTTGGCGCGCAGAGCCCATAGTCCGTCTGTCCCCAAACTTGAGGATTGCTTTTTTCAAATCCATTTGGTGCAATGCCCGATTGGCATTGATCCGTCAACATTTCAGGTCATTGCTGTTGCTGTCAATCCATCTGTCCTCGATCATTAGCTGGACATGCTCGAGGTGACCAAATAAAACCAGCAAAGGCATCCAAGAGCTTTGCTGAACAAATGAATGCTTTGAATTTTAGACCCAAAAGTGCCCCACCCGGCAAAATGTATTAATTACTGAGAAAATTGAGGAAAGAATGTTGCAACCTGATGCTTCCGTACATGTACTTCAGCGGTTGTGTTCAAATCTATGGAGAGTCAAGACAATTTTTAAGTACTTCCTTACAAAATTGAAAATGTTTTTCAGTCGCAGATTCATGTCTTATCATCATTTTTGCAATGACTGACCTTCATTGAGATGATATAAAAAGCAGCATCAGGTTGCAGAACTCTTTCCAAAATTGCAACTACTCCGGTCCGCCTGGATTTTGCACAGCCATCTTCATGCAGAAACATGTTGAACGAATGGGGAAGAGTTCCATACTGGGCCAAACACATCCATTTTCACCTCAACTTGTGATTTCACGCAAGATGAATCCAGGAAGACTCGCAAATTATGCGAAATTCTTTTAGGAACAATGTGTTTTTAGAGCACGTTTTGGACGCACACGTCGTGCAATTAAGTTGGAGGCAGCCGGTCAAATTGATTGAAGTGTCTGGAAGACAGCGGTGCGTTATACGCATGACATCACCAACTGTGACAATACATGAGCCGGTCAATGATAGTGCAATACGTCAATTTCTCATGAATATATATTTACAATGTAGTTTATTTCAATGGATTCTTCAGATACGTCCAAAGATTAATCATTGCAATGTCAATGAATGTGAATGCGATCGTGTGCGTGGTAATGCAATGCAATGAAGACATTGTCCAACCTGGCTAGCTAGTACTACTTTTTAGTTAAGAACACTGGACTCATGCATGTTTCAGAGGCAAGAGTGGTGTGGGTTCAAGCCCGGGGCTGGACACTTGTGCCCTTGAGCAAGGCACTTAACCATTATTGCTTCGTCCTTCGGATGGGACGTAAAGCTGTAGCCTGTAGGTCCCGTGTGTTATTATTCTGGTGTATTCTGGTGTTGTATAAAACAAATAACGAATGTTTGTGAGTGCGATGGTAAGAATAATTTCATTCGGTGACAGATTGAATGTTCTATTCCACTCGGCTTCGCCTCGTGGAATAGAACATTCAATCTGTCACCTCATGAAATTATTCTTTCCATCGCACGAACGTAAAACATTCGTTATTTGTTTTATACAACACCAGAATAAATTCTCGTCATTTGATTGGTAAATTATAAACTACAATTTATTTTGATTTTAAAGATGTTGAACTACCCCTTCAGGAAAATGTTTGAACCCAACGCTGTAGCGCTGGCTCTTTGGAACAATACGCGCTACGCTGAACGCGCGGGATTTATTCAGGTGTTAAAATAACTATAAATGCAAGTTAAAGAACCCGGCAAACACTTACATGTATCGCTAAGAGAAGGGGTTCGCCCGGGTGTTTCTGGCAGTTATCCTCATACATACACCTAGCCCCATAAATGTGGCTTATTTACTGGACTGCCTCCGTAAACATAGGCCACACATCCACATGTACAAAAATCGTGTCAACTTTGCCAAATTTTGATTTTCACATTTAGGCTTACTTTGTAGGTTTTTTTTGCTTTAGAAGCATTCTCACCCTCTATATAGGCTAATCAGAAAGTGCTGCCTTTTTCAGATGTATATTTTTCGTGAAATTTCCAGATTCATTTTTACACGTTTGCGTATCAAAATTTCAACATGAAATTTCACAAAAATTAGACATCTGAAAAAGGCAGCACTTTCTGACTAGCCTATAGTCGTGTTCCCTAACGTGGCGCACTTCGAAGCTTACCCAAATTTCCTCGTGTAGTGTTGCCAAACCTATTTGTTGATAAACCTCAATTTCATGCAGTGAAATACTGGTACTTTTACCTTTTTAATGTTTGCTATTTAACCTCTGTGAACAATTTCGGTTTCATAAAATTTAATCCGAAATGCAAAAACGGTCGCGTCCGGAAATTGGGCACAAATTGGCGGAGTGTTCCCTAACGTGGCGCACTTGAATAAATCTCGGAAAATTCCAAATTAACATTTAAGAATTTCTGTAAACTTGATAAATTCTGATAAATCATCATTATCTTTACTTACAAACCCAGCCAGATGTTTGTCAGAAAATTATTTTCTTATTTTTCGGGGCATTTTCAAAGGGTTCACTTTGCACTTGAAAATAAAATCGGAAAATCACGCCAAAATAATTTTTTCTTTTAACTTTGTAACGGGTAAATAAACTCGCGATTTATGAACGGGAGTATTTAGAACTTGATGAAATTTCACTTTCTGTGAAATTTCAGTTAAAACTTTTGCTCTAGCTAGGCGCTACAGGTGAAAAATCAAAGTGCGCCACGTTAGGGGCCGCGCCACGTTAGGGTACATCAACAATAAGGGTGAGTATGCTTCTAAAGCAAAAAAATCCTACAAACTAAGCCTAAATGTGAAAATCAAAATTTGGCAAAGTCGACACGATTTTTGTACATGTGGATGTGTGGCCTATGTTTACGGAGGCAGTCCAGTAAATAGGCCACATTTATGGGGCTAACATACACCATGAGGCTGTACGCGATAGCCACATCAGGTGTTTGTACAGAAGCTAACACTCAGATCTATGAATGAGATAGGCCTTTACAGGCATGACAGGCCTGCCGGTACTTACACGCAGTCGCTCGACCAACTTTGGAATATCATCTTCGTCCACATTACCGAGCGGCCCTTCCCCGGACCGATCGTCTGGATGCTGGCTGGCATGGGGTAACGCATTCTGGAGGTTATACTTATTCTTGGACCGTGATCTTCTGATCGTCAACCATCCGAGGCTACGATTTTTTGACTTGTTTTTGGGCAACGGGACGGGCCCCAAATCAGACGCCATCGCCATGTTCAACGCTTGTGTGTATTGACATTTTAAGTGAACGAGTACTTCATGTCTGACGCAAGTAGACTTGAGACAAGTCCCTGTGCTGTTCCGATGCTCATTATAATTTTGTCACACGGCCACTTCGCCTCGCAAAAATGGAAGTAGGAAAAAAACATGGAGCTATAAACCCCCAAAAACAGAAACATGGCTGCAATTTCAAGGAATTCAAGCGAAGACGTAGGATAATCTGAATTATAATCCTTTCCGGATGTGTTTGTTATCGTTACTGTTTAATAAAACTTGCAAGCTAGTGCTAACTTTAATTTATATTGCGGGTGCAAAGATCGTTGTGAAGTTTAGGGTTTTTGTCACATGAACTACACGATCGAAAAAACCTGTAGTCTTTGCCAAGCCGCCCACGTACGTACATGTACGCACATACGCGTGTGCTCGCTGTTGATGACTAGCGATATGATGGGTGTGTCCAAGACGAACTTTGGTTGATGCGTGGTACTGGTTAAACATAACGTGTCCCCAGCCCATCCCACTTGACGAACCCGATGACCCGTTGTCCCTGTTTGTTTTTCAAACCATGGCATTGTTTTAGTTGTACAGTTCACTACTGAAATTAAAGTGGTAAACAACGTTCTATTCCTTGAAATGTTTAATTTTTGATAAGGCCGAATACAAAAACAACATGTTTCTCGTCCGGGTTTTAAAAAAAAGGAGGAAGCGGGGCTTTTTATTTTTTAATTTTTTTAATTTTGTTTCAGGATGGCCGCCATTTAAAAATCTCCTGCAACCGTTGGCGTTTCCACTGTTTTCAAAGACACTTTTAAAATGAAAGATACATTGGACAATAGAACTGAACATATTTACAGTGTCATTTTAGACTTGTATTGGTCTTCAACTTATTTTCAGATGAATTTGTGGACTTTTTTCGGTGTTTTTGTACTGCATTTTTCAAAAATAAAAAATAATAAAAAAATCCAGGCGGCGTCCAAAAAGGAAGCGGGCGAGAATGAGAAACATGGTTTTTTTTTTACTTTGCCTAAAGTTTAAAGCTATAGTCCATCATTTGTAGCAATCCAAAAAGTTACTGACGTAATTACTGTTGAAAAACGTGTTTGGTTGAAAGATAGTAAGGAAACTAAACTCCCTGTGAAATTATTCTTTCTGGCAAGCTTTCATTTTGAAGGAATCAACGAAGGCCTTTCCAACGGTTAGGAAACTTTTGTTATAGAACAGAGTTAGTTCATTCGGCGAAGCGCTGGGCCGGCAGGGAAGGGCTGTCGAGCTTCACTTGTGAAGGACGGCGCGGTGGGGATGGAATTCGGGGTAACTTATCATGGCATGTATATCCTAACTAAAGCTGCTGTGGCTGTTTAAAGGGTGCAGGCTAGTCTGGTTCCCCAGACCCCCTTGTCATTTGGACTTAAAAATATATCTTTAGCTGCACGGGCCGGGAAACAGTCTAGGTGCAGGCCAGTAAATCGGTCCGAAATTGCCTATGCCGGCCAAATCACGATTTGCATGCCCTCAAATTCGTCAGAGTTTTGAGCATATTGTGGGCCGGGCCATGAAGTTGAGGGTTTGTAAAAAAATAAGGGTGGAAGCCGTACACAGGACCGAGAGTTTGTATTTCTGTGCAATTTGGATGAAATTGGGGCCCTAAAAGTGCTCTATTTTGCAATGGAGTGTAGGCACCGTTTTTCAAAATGGCGATGGGCTTCAGGACTATTTTAAGGGGTGATCATTTTATTTCGGATGGAAGTTTCTACCAAAAGTCATCAGAATACCCTCAGAAATTGCAAAGAAAAAGGAAGGTGAAAAAATAAGCTTTAGCTTTGATGTGTGTCTCGAACACCTTGGAGAGTAAATTGTGAGTATTTTTCCTGACTTTCTGAAGTGGGGACATTTATCAATGGGTATGGGATGTATGGCAGTTTATTGCAGGCCCTAGGGGCACTGTTAAAAGCGGACACTCATGGACACTCTCGGACAGTAGGCGGCGCTCTTAATCCCTGCCGTCTGACGTGGACGCTTTTTCCGACAGGCCGATTCAGCGTCCCCGCCTGGCTCGCTCTTAAAATCTGTAGCCCGTTGCAATTTGCCACTCTGCAACACCCCCCCCCCCCCCCCCCCCACACACACTATGCCTCTGGACCGAGGTAGGTAAAATAGGCACTTAGAATGTCGGTAAAAGGAAAAACAAATATCCGGCAAGGCAGCACTGAACTATTTTTCAGAGACCAGCGAAATACTGCATCGATCGTCCCGCACACATTTCATAAAGTATGATTTTTTTTTAAAGTTGGTATATGGCCCACGTGCTAAATTTTCTCGCTTGCTTTTGTAGGCCTTTATTCAGTTTAAAATAAAAAATTGTTCTTAAATGGCGCGCTGCAGTTCAGATATTTCGCACACTATTTTATTCAAAAGCTGAAATTAATTAATTGGTTGCTAGTCATGGGCCGATTTTTTTTTAGTGCGATGTCTCATTGGAAAGCTCATTAAACTAATGTAATGCTAGAAAATTATCAACTCCATCTGAAAATCTATCTTTCACATCTATCTATGATTCCACACCCACAAACCACATATACACCAACTTTGTAAATAAATAAAAAAAATCTCAATATGTCCAATGAACCTCCTTACTTTTTCACTTTGGTACTACATGTCAAAATATGTCCTATTTTTGATTCTTAAATAACTCTGTTGTTTATCAATAGAATTAGACTAAACGTTCGTATCATGTCGAAAAGGCACGACAAATCATTGCACGGGGCGAGTTTCATCAGCTTTGTTCGAGAGGGTGAGATTTAATGCTTTACAAAAAAATACTCCCTTTCAGAATGCCGAAACAGCACTGCAGGAGACGGCGGCGGAAGGCGCGTGCTGCGGCCGAAAGCTTCTAAAGAAATGCTGGGTCACCCCCGGATGTCATTGCACACCAACTCGATCATGTGTCGCACAGACCGATGGAGGAGGTGTGCAATGACATCGGGGGAGATCTTGCATTCCTTCAGAAGCTTTCGGCCACTGCACGCGCCTTCCGCCACCGTCTCCAGCGTTGTATCGACATAGGAAGATGCCAAATCGAAAGTGGCAGATTCTGAAAGTGAGTATTTTATTTCGTTTGGCGTTAAAATCTCACCCTCTTGCACAAAGCTGAACAAACCCGCTCTGTAAAATTCGCGATGTCTTGATTACATGATTTGAAATGTTTTGTTTAATTCCATTCGTAAAAAACATACTCAACAACCACGAGGGAAATGACGGTGCTTGTTGCGCGATTGACAAGTACTTCAGAAGTATTTGTCAATCGCGACAGCGTCCTCAGTACTTCGGAAGCCAGAGAACTGGTAGCAAAGATGCGCGAAATGCTTGCCTGTGGTTGCTTTAATATTTGTCAGAGGGCCATCAACACACCCTCAATTGTTAAAGACATACCCTCAATTGGCCCGCAAAGATGGCTCAGTACAAGTTATGGCCAATCTTCGGTCAGCTATATAGAGCGACTCTCCCGAAGCCACATTTTGGACTACGCTGACAGGGTGACTAAGGCGAGCTGAGCTACAAGCATCGACCCATCGAGGTACTCAAGATGAAAACCATCTTCCGAATCCTTGCCTACGGCGCTCCATGAGTGCCATCCACTTCTTAATTTACTCAGATAATTTATCACGTCATGTTGACATATCGTCTCCGACACCACGAACTGCATGACACCCTCTGCATCACGTGTACAAAAAAATAAAAAAAATCCAAATTTTCTTTCTTTGCACATATTAGCAGTTTGTATCATGAAGTTTAACATGACGAGGTTAAAATTGCTGAAATCATCTAAAATAAGCAAATTTTACTAATGAATTTTCAAGAAATTGGTCAATTATTCTGGTATTTTTGGTTACCACGAAGTGACCCTGCACAGGGTGTCAGTTCGTGAAAACCAAAATGTACGTGTTTTCGGAGAGTGCGTGCATGCAATAGCGTTAGTGAGTGTCAGTTCGTGAAAATCAAAATTGACGCGTTTTGGGAGAGTGCGCGCACGCATGCGCAGTGTGTGCGCGCACTCTCCCAAAACGCGTCAATTTTGGCTTTCACGAACTGACACTCACTAACGCTATTGCATGCGCGCCCTCTCCGAAAACACGTACATTTTGGTTTTCACGAACTGACACCCATCTTAATCATTTAATTGCTAATTAGCTAAGCAGATTTTTATAATATAACGTTTATAATTGAGTAGTGAAAGCATTTATACGTTGAGTGATACTAACACCTCTAAAATAGATGGAATATTTTACTGAGTAAATTCGTGTCAAACCTTTAAAAGCGTTTTTCTCCGATTTGTATTTCTGCAACGCTGACCACCGGGTGTCAGTTCGTGGTGTCGGTGACGATATGGCGACTTCAGTAATCACATAATTTTATCGCTAAGTCGACTTACCGAAGATCGACTTGACGACTTGTCCAGATGTATTATCTCCCCAAGTCGACTTACCGAAGTCGACTTGGTGACTTGTCCAGATGCATTATCTCTCCAAGTCGACTTCCATAAGTCGACATGACGACTTGTCCAGATGTATTATTTCGTCAAGTCGACTTTCCGAAGTCAAGATGACGACTTGTCCAGATGTATTATCTCGCCAAGTTGACTTCTCGAAGTCGAGATGACGACTTGTCCAGATGAAATATCTCGCGAAGTCGACTTACGATGAGGAGATGATGATGTTGCAAAAATCCCGTTCTGTATGGATATCCCGTTGTTGAAGCACTGTCGTGGATTCTTTCTTGTCTGTCGGTGCATTTGAGGTTTTCCCCACCCGTTCTTATATGAACAAAAAACTGGCAGAGGAACAAGAGATAAACTGTAGGGTATTGATTTGATCTGGGTCGAAGTTGATTTGTGTTTTTTTTTTTATTTCTCAACTTGTTTTAAATTACTCCCCCAAGCTTCGTAGGAAATCACACCTCTACCTTGTTTTCCCCTGTTTATCCCGTTGAAAAGTAATTCACTTCACGTTAAACATTAACAATCAT